GAAAGAAGTTCAGTTTTTAGAAATATTACTATAGTTTCCTCACTCTGTCTTTATTTACATATATACACAGAGTATTCAAACACTTATAAGTTAGATTCACTGTCCATATCTGAAGTGATGACTACTGATAAGAATTAAGTGTATAACCACTTAAAATATAATACATAAAGTCTTTTTTTCCACACTATATACAGGTTAAGAATATTCTTTTGCTGGAAGGTGCGCCACAGTATCCAAATCTCTCAATATTCTCAACACTACCAACAAGTGTATACCTAATACCCTGAAGATGTCCACTCATCTCTTAATGCAAACTGTCGCAAATGAAGTGAATTTGCCTTAACTATACTGAACTAAATTAAGACTTTCCATACAAAATTAATTTACCCCTAAATTATGTTTATTCTTCTTATACTAATATTTTTCTAACAGCCTTTTTTAATTCCAGTGCAAATTATTTTAAAAGAACCAAACTGCCAATAGCTTTTCTGTAACCCATGAAAAAATTCCAAAAATTTGGGGATATGTGAATAGTCAAATCCAATATACTAATTTCACCTTTCCTGACAAACGAAAGTACTTTACATTAGTAAATGCATATACATATTCAATACTTAGAGAATCACAGACCAAAACACTTTTGACCACCTAGCAAAGAATGCATGTGGCACTAATATGGCCTAAATAAAGGAATTAAGGACATCAGTTTGCTCAGCAAATCCTTGACAACTTAGGGTTGTTCGGTCTAACATTACTGGTATTTCTGATAGCAACTGTGTTAACCTCAAAGCTACCACATAGAAAGCAACTGTAAAGCAGAATATTTAATATCATAAAACTGAATATTTACTGAAACCATTTCTGACCCCAATCTCACAAGCTGATACAAATGTCTTAAGTCACTATCCTTAGAACAAATCCTAACACCTTTTCTTAATGAATTCATACCACAAAAGAATACTGATTTTACTTAAAATCAAGTTTATCTAACAAAAAAAGAGACAGGAGAAAAGGTAAGAGTGACGGTTCTATGAAATAGAAATAAAACTTCAGAACTAATGGTGGCTACAGGAAAAAAAACACATCAAATAAATTTCTTACACCATCATTAATAACGTATTTTTCTGGAAGCTAAATTCTTATAGTACAGCCAAGGCCTAACATTTCAAGTAAGTGAAAAACTGTCATATGCATACAAACTTCTAAATTTCTTTTCACAAACTCAAATTTCACATACAATACTAATATAAAAACATTTCCTACACTGCTGTCTTACTAAAAATGCTAAGGCAAAAATTTAAAAATAGAATGTTTACTGAGAGTGATTTAATGTAGAAACTTTGTGAAGTGATTTTCCCATAATAAATACTCCTACATTAAAAAGTCATTGAAGTGATTACTTCTTAAGTTGCTTAGAAATTATTAAAAAGTATTAAGCTATCATCAAATGAACAAATAGCAAATGGGGCAAATCTCAAAATGAGGACATTTGAAAATCAGTACTAAAGACTTCCAAAAAGTAAGAAATTTTGTAACATTAAGAGGTTTATATTTTTGTGTGTGTGGTTAATGGGAAAAAGCAGATACTATACTGTTGCACACAAGCATTAAAGTATCACCAGCTACCTTGAATGTTGTTAAAATAAAATTCTGAAAGGTAATACACACAAGTGCACCCTTCTTTACTATCTTTCTAAAACTATTTAAAATTAAGGTGATTATACCTCACCATATTTTATATTTACTTATTATTTATTTAGTGTACCATAAGCAATGCTAAATCTGCACTGATGACTGTACTACTGTGCAAACTTTTACAATGAACAGCAATAAAATTCCTTTTTCCTTATATTGAGTTATATAAACTGTAAATTCCTCTCAGATGCGCTTTATTCTTTAATATGCTTTATGAAAATGAAGTTTATAAATTATTGTATAGCAATTAGGTGGCCCAATTATGTTGCACAGGAAAGAAATACAACTTAACAGATACAAAACAATGTAAAATAAAAATTGTGAATAGAATCTTTTTTCAAAAAAACCTCACAATACAGTCATTTCAGTAATCACTAATCTTAAAAGATAATACAGCTAACTTCAATAGCCCCTGTACTCTCTACAAATTAAGTATTCCCCATGAACACGCAAACTTATCAAACTTATCCATTAAAATACAACAGAAGCCTAAAGTTTCCATGAAATCTAAAGACAATGAATTTTTTATAGTCTCATGTTTAATACTACTTTCCAGACTAGCATTAAGGATAAAACCCCACCAACAAATTATTTTTAGAATAATTCAATTCTGCAAAAAAAATTAAGTAAAGTATGGTCCTCAATTTTCCTCTGAGGAAATCACTTCATTATTGATCTTTATAAAAATACTCCAATCACTACTTTCATAAAAGAATTTAACTTTGAACAGGTTAGCTGTTGAAATAGATACTACAACCTGCTAGAGAGATACTACAACCTGCTAGAGACAAAGCCTTCAATGGCCATTTTAATTTTCCCCCCACCGCAATAAACACAAAACACTAAAGTGAAACCAAGCAAACTAAAGTGCTTTGGTATTTCAAAATTATTGGAAGTGCAACTATCAAAAAAGTAAACCCTTTACTGACTTCCCTAAGTGATTTTTTTTTCACATCAACATTTGGCTCAATAAAACCACAACTCTAGAAATTAAGTGTTATTAGTCATTTGATGCAATATACGATAATGCTTTCTATGCATACCATAACTAAAAGGACAGTTTTAGAGAAAGTTTTAAGTCACATAAATTTCATACATAGAGGCACACACACTCTGAAATCAAAGGAGAAATGGCTAATCACCTCACTGCTCACATATAAGAACCTGGTAGAATGTTAGTCTTATAACTCTGATAATTTTAAATCAAATGTGTAAAGCAAAAATAGCATAAACATATTCTGAATACTAAAAGCAATCTGCCCAACAAACAGCATTCTAGAAAATTTTTTGAATGGGGGTTTATTTTAAAAATTTAAACATTTAATTAATTTGTTCCTATACATTGAGATGACTGTCAAGTCACACCAATAGTAGACTATTTTTGAAATACGTTACAAATCAGAAGAGTTTTTTCATAATTAATTATCTTCTGGGCAAGCGGGTCAAGTTCAGCTTTAGTAAAGTTTTTCAATTAATGCAACTCCAAAATTTCCAAATATTCTTTTAAAATATCATTTTTTAACCTAACAGAAAACTTACGTTGTGTGTGTTGTAAAGCTACTTCTTGAGTAACTTTTATCTTCATTTCATATCAAGAACTGGGGCAAAATTAGCTGTGCACATTTATGTGTGGATACATAACCCAAAGGAATAAAACCTCTTCAGATATGTAACATTTTCTTCAAAAAAATCTTCCCCACAGTTTTTACCTGGACGTATAGACACTTTAGTGTCACTCTACCTTTAGGCAAAATGTTTACTGATACTTGCTAAGAAACCATTTTTATTAAGACTATTAACACTTATGCAATTATGTAGTTTTAAGTAAGTATTGTCCACTGCTACAATTCACAGCACCAAATTTTTTATCTTAATAGAGGCCTTAATAAAATGCTTCAGTCACCTCAGACCAATAACTTAATCCTGTTCTTCATGCCTTACACTGGCCTACCAGTGACTCTCAATTCCTACGATACTTTCCATTCTGCAAAAAAGGAGGGCTCTATCGCCATCCTTGATCAAAACTGGTTTATTATACCTGAAACTGCAAAGACTCATGCCTTTCGATAACCACTATCTTTTGAAATATAAAGGCCTAACTTTTAGACAACCAATTATATACCACTGAAACTCTTGGGTTTCTGTCTTATCCAACAAGCTGACTCAGTAAATTTAATACACCATATGAAAAAAGCGAACACACCTACAATCCGAAGCTGGAATGATCCACTCTTGCCAGCATTTCTGGTTATTAGCCGGTAAATTATACTTATACTGATATTCTACACAAGCCAGAGTAAAGTTAATGGATACCCAAAGGTGTCACAGGACCTGAAACCTAAATAAGGTGAGTGTCAATTCTGGTATCACAATAATACTTAAATTTCAAGTGAAACTGAAGTTTAATCTCTGCAATCACCATTTGCTACACACAATACCCTTGAACCTACACAACATTATCATCTGGGATCAAAAACCACTCAATCTCCATTCTGTGTCACAAGAGCACTGAATATACAGTGCTACTGAACAGCAAATTTCATGCCCTATCCCACATCACCCCAACACAAGACAAAAAAAGCAAATTTAACAAAGATCTAGTAAGAGCGCCTTTGAGATGTATCACGGTACTATTGATTTCAAGCTACAAAACTTCTAAATGCGATTCAAAGTTGTAATTAACTTAGTTTTAACACACAAACCTACTTTTGCCTTCAAATGAGCACCATATATGCTAAAATGATTCTCTCTCTAAAGTTATGCAAATCAGTTCGGTACACAACTCACATTTTAAAAGAATCTATCAATGCAACTCAGCAAACTAAAAGCAATCACTGCAAGATTCTGATGCAATATGCGTACGCGCAACACTAATTTTCATTTTAATCTGATCTATACCCTTGATCTAGGGCCTAAAGCCAAGATTTAATCGAAATATGCTCAACCTCAAAGCATCTACTTTTCTGTTCATTTAGCAGACCGGATTACCGAGCTCACTAATCCACTAGCAGTGTACTGTATTCTTTATTAACGGACAATAGCCCTTAGGGACAGTCCCCACAGACAGACTAAGAAACCCATCAGTGCCTTGACACTTGCAACCAGGCAAGAGTTCCGAATAGCCGAACACACCCTAGGTTGAATGCACTCAAAAGAGGCACAAAATATACATGATCTAGAAATCCGACCAGGGTTAAATGTCATAGTCACCCAAACTATGGACATTTTTCGCATCCGTCTACTCCCACGTTATAAGAGAGAGTGACAGAAAGGCAAAGAGGAGCGGCAGCCACAGAAATGGATACAGGTCAAGTCTAAGTCGAATCCATCCTCTTGATATCTCCTTTTGTTTCTGCTAACGATCTCTTTGATGATGGCTGTCATGTCTGGGAGCCTGTGGCTGAAGAAAAAGGAGGAGAGAGATGGCAGAAGCTGCTGGTGGCGGGGCTTCTTCTGCAGGATGGAAATGGCTCTGGACTTGGCGGTGGCTGATGCCCCTCGCTCTGCTGCCGCTTGGTTCTGGACAGCAGCCGGGTAATGGCTGCTGCGGCGGCTGCTGGATGGTTGCAGCGACTGGGCCTGCTTCTCCTCAGCAGCCAGAGGTCTGGCAGCGGCGGCAGCAGAATGGGGAGAAGAATAATCCTCGGAACGGCTGCCTCCTCCGGCGGCCTCCGGAGCCCGGGCCAGGAGGGGTGCGGCGGCGGCGGAGGGGAGGTTTAAAACCGGCCCGGGTCCCTGGATGTGCCGCCGCCGCCGCCGCCGCCGTGTTGGAGGCAGTAGAAGGGGAGAGACCAACTCTCCGGCGTTCCCAGCCCTGGAAATGGTGACAGGCGACTCCGACACCCTCCCCGGAGCTGCAGCCGCCGCCGCCGCCGCCGCTTCTCCCCCCCGCTCCAGGAGCGGGAGGTGCAGCCGCCGCGCCTCAGCCGGCTCCCGCCCGAGTCCACAGCTTCCACCTTCCCTTTCAGGAGAAGCCGAGGAAGAGGCTGCACGGTTAGAAAAGAAGACGAAGAGGAGGCGAGAAACGCCGCCGCTGCCGCCGCCGCCGGCCGGCCGGCTCCCCGAGGGCGCTGCCCCCGCGGCTGCTCACAGGCGCTGAGAGGGGCTCTGGGCCGCGGCCGCCGCCGTCTCTCATCTCCTTCGCCTGAGCCCGGCCTCGCCTCACAGCGGCTCAACTCTCAAACTTCCATCATGGCTGCAGCTTCCGAGAGGAGAGAACTAAGCGCAGCCGCGTCCCAGCGCCCGAACGTGTATCCTGCCGCAGTGCACAAAGAGTCCCGCCACATCACCGCCCGCCGGCCTGCCCGCCCCCTGCGCCGCCGCGCCGGGAGCCCAGGCGCCTCGGAGCCCGAGGGGAGGCTGGAGGCGGACGGACCGCGCCGGGGGAGGGAAGGGCAGGGCAGGGGCTGTAGGGAGGGGGCAGAAGCAGCAGCTCCGGGTGCGAGCGCCGAGTACCCAACGGGCAGGCGCACTGAGCATGCCCAGTATGACTGCCTGGAGCTCGCTCGGGCTTGTTTCGAGGCGCCCGCCTGTAGCTGCACTTGCTGCGGGTGCTTCTGCAGCAGCCCAGGGTGGGGGGGACGAGCTGAGCCACGGCCGAAAAACCCAGCCACAGGCAGAGTAGGCTGTTGCGATGGGGAGAGGGGGAGCGAAGGTGAAGGCTGTGGCCGGTTCGTTGAGCAGTGTCACTGACTTGAGTCTCAGGTTATGCACAGGTGGAAAAGACCAGGTGACTGCTATGGCCAGGGTACAGGAAAACGCAGGGACGATCCCTGCAGCGAGGACACCCCTCCCCCTGCCTCCACCTCCTGATTTCCCCGGCACGGCCTGCAGCCTCCTTCTCCTTATGCGCGGATGTCGGATCACGATCGTTCGCAGGGATGTGACTGCAGCAGCCCTTGCTGAGAAATCCCACCTCTCCCCCCACCCCCACCCGTGTCCTCAAGGTGTCAGTCTTAGTACAAAGAATAACCCCCTATTGTGTCTCCAGTGGGTATCACCTCATCCGGCTCCCTTTCACCGCCCCACCTCCCGCTTCCCAGGCACTCGGTTCATTTGCCCTAAAAATGAAAGCTCCCAGCGGAGCGCGCTGAGTATGAGCACATCTCCCCTGAATTTCTAGATCCCAAAGGGCAACTGTCCAGGTGAACTGAAAGCGGATCCCCGAGGATGGGATGCACGCTGCAGCCCCCTGCATTTCCCCCGGAGAGCCGAGCATCTCTCCCCTCGGGGTTCCAGTTGGGTTCACCGCTTCGAACTCAAGCTCGACCCTTAGCGGCTCCTCGCCCCGCCCCTTTTGGGTCGCCGTGAAAACCCGGCTGGGTGGATCGCCCCGGGGCCAGGTTCCGCGCTCCCCTAGCGGGTCAGTGCACGCTAGAGACCGGGGTTGCAGGGCGGGAGTATGAATTACGGGACGGTAGGAAACTGCAGCCCCAGCGAGTGGGCGGAGCCGAGGAGACCTAGGAGGGTTCAAAAGGAGGTGGAGGGATACACGGGCCACAGTCGGAACTACTTTCAGGAGGAGGTCACGTGTGTTCCTAGTTGGGGAACTTTCCAAATTCCCACTCCCATTTGGTAGCTCTAGAGGCAAGTGCTTCGCTTCCTTTGCCCAGGGTGCTCCCGCCACGTACGGGTAGCTGGACCCCAGAGCCTACCCTGTTTCGGCGGAAGAATAGGCTCAGACGATCCTCCCGCCGGAGCGCTGTCGGTGCTGGCGCCTGAGGAGCTGGTTACACAAGCACCCACATCCAAGCACGTGCCCCCGCCTCCCCTCACCTTGGCTGCCGCCGCTGATTCTTGCAGATCTCGGAGCAAGAGTTCCCAAGCTGGTCGCACCCTTTCCTGCTACCCACAGAGCAAGCTAGAGGACGGAGACCTGAAACTCCGAGATCTGGATCCGCTACCACTGCGCCTTCCAAACCGTGGGAGAAGGGGCTGGGCCCCGGGGGTCTGGCGCATCTTCCTTGCTAGTGCCCTGCCCCGCAGGGCGAACCTTTCTGGTGCTGTACTCGCGGGGCAAAGGGTATCTACTGCAGCAGCCCGGTGATTGAATTCAACGATGTTGCGACAAACTTTCAGTCACTACTGAGCTGGTGAGCGCGCCCCACCTACTGTAGACTCAGCCTAGTGACTTATCTGGTCGGAGAACCTAGTCCATGGCCTTCAGCCCAGAACAAACTTGTCAAGTCTGCTTAGAGCTCGGATTGTTTGACCTAAACCGCGAAAGATCTGGTTCGGAAATGCTGAAAACTAGAGCGCATTTACCCTGACATCGATCGGCTGCAAAGTGAGTGGTCCACCGTCTGCTTGTAGAGAGTGGGCATCAGTACCAGCGCAGGAATTCATTCTTTCCCCTGGGAAGTAGAACTCAAGGAGAATTTGAGTCCAAAAGTATTTAAGTTGATACCTAGACTGAGGCGCTGGTCGTTTTTTAGATCTGAGAGAATGGGATCAATTTGCATGTCTGTTGCAGTTATTGTGAATTAATGCCTAGGAAGGTCTAAAAGAGGATTTATTCAGTGTATGAGAAAGAACACATCATAGTTGCAGGCAGCCCCTGAAGACTAGAAACCTCAAGAGAGCTACCTTAGAAGCCACAGACCATTACCTAACTCCAGGACTACTTACTAACTAAACCAGGGATATTTACACTGTTCTTAGAGATCTCTGAGGCTTCATAAGACTTTGAATTTATATGCAACATCCTTTTAAGATAGCCCTGCAGGAGTTAGCCACCTGCTGAATCTTCAGTCTTGATATTTATTGGAGCCTGGTTTTGTACATGGTCCTGGTCAGCTTGGGGGAAGGAGGGGCCACAAGTGGAAGAAGAAATGGAGAGCAACCTAGAAAGAGTAGGAGAAAGACCTCCATTTGGTTTCCAAAGATGAAAGTCCTGACCACACAGCCTAGATAAGCTAGAGATTTTTTTTTTTAAATAAATGTATTTATTTATTTATTTTTGGCTGTGTTGGGTCATGGGCTTTCTCTAGTTGCTGTGAGCAGGGGCTACTCTTCGTTGCAGTGCACGGGCTTCTCATTGTGGCACGGGCTTCAGTAGTTGTGGCTCGCAGGCTCCAGAGCGCAGGCTCAGGAGTTGTGGCGCACGGGCTTAGTTGCTCCGTGGCATGTGGGATCTTCCCGGACTAGGGCTCGAATCCATGTCCCCTGCACTGGCAGGCGGATTCTCAGCCACTGTGCCACCAGGGAAGCCCTAGAGATTTATTTATTTTATAAATAACCAAGGATAAGTCCCTGGTTTCTAGGTGTTCCACCAGATTGCATGGCAAGAACCTGAGAGCTATGCTCAATTGATTATCAACTACTGCTTGGTGAGGAAAGGGAAAATGAAGATAAAGTTAAATGAAGGCAAGTGATTAGGGAGGGGTAAAATGTCCCACGTTTGTTTTTCCAGTTGCTGATCTTGTCCCCAGAGTTCCTGTTATTAGCACTGCCCTACTTTGCCCACCCCTCTCCCCCAACTCCATGTGAAGATTAGTCTCACAGTATCTGAGAAGTTCTGAAATCCACTTCCTAGGAAGAAAGTGGATTCATTTCTGCCCTGTTGGTGTTTTGGTGTTAGGCCTGAGGAGAGAGAATCCTTTTCAATTCCTGTGGCACAGAGTTATTCTGGAGCAGAGAGGGTGTGCATCACCAGTACTAACATGCTGGAATATGAGACTGGCCCACAAGCACTTCCATCTGCTGAAAGAAGAAACTGGAAAATGAGTTTTGCTGCTACTCTAAACATCAGGTCCCTCTACTTATCTCCATGGTGAGTGAAAGGACCACCAATGTTGGCAGATATTTGACCAGCCTGACAGCAATACCAGGTGGTTATTAGAAGTTGCTGAGTAAAAAATTTCCTCCCCTTCCCAGTGTTAAGTGGGTTCCTGAAGGAAATCCTTTTTTAATTTTTGTTTTTCTTCACTTTGTCCTCCTACCCAAGAAGTCTCCATACGCAGGTGGTAGAGCTGAAACCTTTAAATAGCTGACCCTGTCTAATGTACAGAAAGTTTTTTAAAATGTTTTTTTCAAGTTCAGTTGCAAATATCTGCTTGGCTGTACAGATATTACAATACATTGGTTTCTAAACACTTCAGTTATTTACCTGTCTGGATTCAGACTGCCCTGGGGAGAAACAGAAGCTGGTAACAAAGGGAGAATTATATAAAGCTTCAGGGAGACTAACCATACAGAATAATTAGTGAACAGGAAAAACCAGCTTTAATTGTAGTTTCTAACAGCTGATTCCAAAACTGTATTGCTACTGCATCCGGAGAATATCTAAAGAAAATTCCTTTCTTATTTTCTTTGATAAGTGAAATGACCAGCAACTCAATGGGGATGATATAAATAGTTGATGTGCTCTTTGTAGGTCCTGCTGCTAAAATGTCTTTTGTTGAACACTGATTGCTATAGTGCCTTTCTCATTTCCCACACACTGACCTTTCAAATAGAGATCTAAAGCAATGGCTTCAATTTTTAAGTAATCCTCTCTATTTTTATCTGCTTAACCACTGTTTTCTAAATAATACAGAGTAAAAAGTATATAATAATTATATATTTTAACTTAAACCATCCCATTCTTCCAATGGTCTGAAGACTTTTCCCTTACTTCAGTTATCCTAATTACAAATATTCCTGTTGTTTTAAATAAAGACCTTTTGCTTACAACATTTCTCCAGAAGGTACCAGTATGGATCATACAAGCAACCACAGCCTAAAAGAGAATTTTCCATTGTTGCCTACAAGTTCTTCATGCCCTAATCTCCTGGAGCTATTTCGGATGGCACTTGTGTCTCCTTTCACATCTCAGTAGAGAGGTGTGCTGTATGAAATATCACACAAAGAGAAATAAGGGCTGGGCTGGGTGCTTCTGGGAGAACCACAGAGCAGACTAGGCACTCACTATGTCCAAGTGGCATTTAGAAATTGTGACTTGGACTAGAGAGTGATAGAAAAGAAAGACCTAACATGACAAGACAGCTTTGATTGTTTTAGTATCCGATCTAACACTAGCTATTGGATATTCCACTTTGGTCCCCTTAATACTAACTCTAGCCCTAGGAACACATTTCTTGCCTTTTAGCGCTTCCGATAATAGAAAAAGATAATAATTTTTATGTTACCAGCAGATATTGGGGCATTTACCAGTTGCTTCACAGAGTAGCCCTCATTGGTCCAGGTATAGGAGGGACACTGAGAAGGAGTCAAGGTTAACTATTGCCTCACTCCTACAAATCTTTCCCTTCAGAACATCCTTCTGGCTTCTGAGGTATCACTTTTTCTGGTAACAAAAAGCAACAAAAAACCTTTTTGAAAGAGAAAATGCATGGTTAAAACTCGATCTAAGGGACTTCCCTGGTGGTCTAGTGGTTGAGAATCCGCCTGCCAATGCTGGGGACGCGGGTTCAATCCCTGGTCGGGGAACTAAAATCCTACATGCCAGGGGGCAACTAAGCCCACACACCGCAACTACTGAGCCTGTGCACTCTGGAACCCGCCCGCCACAACTAGAGAGAAGCCCGTGTGCCACAACAAAGAGCCCACACCACAACGAAAGATCCCACACGCCACAATGAAGATCCCACATGCCGCAACTAAGACCTGACACAGCCAAATAAATAAAAATTTAAAAATTAAAAAAAAAAACTCTATTTAAGGTAGCTTTTTTGTCTGTGTTGATGGTACAGGGTCTTAACTCCGTTCAGTCATTTAATGATTCAATCAACAAATATGTGGGAGTCTTATGTGCCAGTACTAATAATGCTAAGCTCTGTGGACAGAGCAATGACTATAGCATAGAGGGTCCAGCCTTTATGGAATTTAGTCTCCTTGAAAACTTGGCTTCTTTGTTTGACACTGTTGCAACCTCTTCACAGTCTAGGAGTAAAGTTAAAGCTGTAGAAAATACCCTAGTATTTGATAACTGTTTCAATTATCTATTGCTGCATAACAAACCACTGTAAACTTCGTGGCTTAAAAGAACAACCACCATTTATTTTCTCACAATTTTGCAATTTGGGAAGGTCACAACTGGACAGTTCTTCAGCTCCCCCATGATGTCAGCTGGGTCAGACATGTGGTTACGTTCAGCTATGACTTTGGCTAGGGCTGGAATGTCTGTGACATTCCCCACATGTCTGGCACCTCAGCTGGAGCACCTGAAATGCCTGGGGGCCTCCCTCTCTTCGTGTGACCGTTCATCATTCAGTGGTCCAGCCCAAGCATCTTTGCACAGTGACTGAATCCCAAGAGGAAGAAAGCAGAGGCTTCAAGGCCTCTCAAAGGCATGGTTCAGAAGTCCCAGAATATCACTTTCATTCTGTTCTCTTGGCCAAAGCAAGTCACAAGGCCAGCCCAGATCCAAGGGGAGAGGAGTCTCACTTCTTAATGGAAGGAGTGGCTGGGATGAGAGGAATTATTGGCAGTCATATTTGGAAGCACTCTACCATAATCCACCCTCTGGCCACAACTGTTCACACATACACACCCACACACAGACATGCAAAAGACACTTACTTCCTCCCCCCCAAATTATCATTCTGTATAGCATTGGCTCTAAGGTCTAGGATCTAGTAATACACACTAGGCCCAGATGTGAATGAGGCATTTCAGATGCTGTTCCTCTTCATCTGGAGATCCATGAACTAAAAAGACAAGTTACAATACACAACATACAATACTGAAACAGGGATAGAATAAATGCAATAGATACTTCTTTTCAAAGGTCGGCAGGGGGAAATGGAAGGCACACAGCAGTCATTAGTCTGTAGCAATTCTGAAAGCCAGACAAGTGCTGTCATCCTGACTCTAAGGATCTGGTTCTCCATTAGGGCCTGGTTCTTCTCCCTGGGAGTAGTTTCCTAATCCACTCACTGTTCTTGGCTCCCTGCTCTGGGGTCTAGCTGACCTCTGAGTCAATCTTCCTTTTTCATAAGAAACTGCCTGCCCTTTACAGTTGAATACCTCTCTCAGCCTGCTTCTTGCCCATAGAAAGTTGGGGGCCCAGAGGCTTTTTTTCATTTTGAACTGTCTCTTCCTTCT